CTCTCTCTCTCTCTCTCTCTCTCTCTCTCTCTCTCTGTGTGTGTGTGTGTGTGTGTGTGTGTGTGTGTGTGTGTGTGTGTGTGTGTGTGTGTGCTATGAATTTCGCGATGACTCTCAGCCAGACTTTGTTTGTGGTGCAACGCAGCATAACATATCGTTTTTTCAGATTTCTTAAATGCCGTTTACGCCACACGACCATTGGCACAAGACACTGTACATTTGTAGATGTACACGTGTATGCGAGACACCCTACATGTACTCCTCTTTTTTTTTTTTTCTGAAACTTCGGTGGAGGAGACCATTGTAGCAGGTGATATCAGCACCCTCCTAAAGTGGCCCTCCCTATGAAGGCTCCATCTATTGGTGGGTAGCTGCACCTGGTCTGGAAATCGGGTCCAGCGTCCTTAATGCCATATATCGTAAAAAAGAGCTGCCCGGTAAACCGTAGGCAGAGAGGGAGAAGAGGACAACAAACAAGGGGCTGTGACAAACTGTTTCGCCATATATGTGATACATTCCTTTTTGTTGGTGGCCCTGAGACTAACTGAGGCCTCATCAAAGTTCGATGTACCTGGGTGTTTTCCACAGTACAGGTACGTCAGGCTCAAGCTGAACTTAGCCATTTTCAAAATGGCCGTTCAGTTTTACAGGCCCTGACTGAATGGTCACACTCAGGCTTAGCTAGCCTGCATCTGGTCCACAATCGAGGCCACATTCGCAGCCCTCGGCCCTCCTTCCCCTTCTTTTACTTTTTAACCCCCCCCCCCCCTCACATATGTACCACTTTAATGCTTCTCTATTACCTCTGACACTAGCTACAGTCCCTGTGCTCACCAAAGGCGGGTCTTACCTGTTCATCCCGCGTAGGTTAACTCTGCGGCGGACCCCCTACATGTACTATACGGGGGGACCGGGGGGGTAACAGAAATCAACAAAAATAAAAACAGAACAAACAAAACAGGGTGTCAATCGTGCGGTTAAATTGTGGTTAACCGCTTAACCACATGACCTCGTGGTTGCAGAATGCAGAGACCTGATCTAGACAGGAGGAGGAGGAGGAAGAGGCAGACAGCGACCGGAAGCTACAGAAAAAGAAGATGCTCCGGACGGGAGGTAAAGAAGGATGAACAGCACATGGACCACAGTAAGGAGGAAGAGAGAGAAGATGGGAGGGGATAAGGAGGAGGAGGACATAAAGGAAAGCAAGCAGCACAGGAACAAGTTGCGGAGCACAAGACCAGGGAGCGGCAGAAGCACAAAGAAGGGACGACCAACTTACGTCCCTCCCAGTGCCACTACTATCTTCTCCCAACTGCAACACCTGGACATTCTCACCGTATCGAAACGGAATGTTGAACCAAATACAGCAATAATGTCCAGGTGTTCTATTCGAGTGAAGAGCGGCAGCAGCACAAAGAAGGGACGACCAACTTACGTCCCTCCCAGTGCCACTACTATCTTCTCCGGACTGCAACACCTGGTCATTATCACCATATCGAAACGGAATGTTGCACCAAATACAGCTATAATGACCAGGTGTTCTATTCGGGTGAAGATGGTAGCCCTCTGGAGCAAACAGTTTGTATCATTGTCTCATAGGACAGAGTGAAACATAAAGGGGACTGGATGGACTATCAAAAGGGGACTTGCACCTTTGGGAACTCTGGGGCCACAGAAATGCACGAAACCTTTTCTACTACCTGGATAGCTGTCAATATTCATCAGCACATTTTAAAAATCGGAAATTGCCTACTAGTATACAATTCTTTTTTTCTTTTTTTTTTTTAGCATACAAACTGAGAAACGTTCAGAAATTAAAAATATGCAGTTCATTCTGGCAGCAAGCCAGGTCGTACGGCCAGACACTGGATACCTTCTGCAGCTTTCGCAGAACTGGGGTCTCCCAGGGCAACCGGGGTTCTCCCTGTGTAAGCTGGCCTCACGGTGCTCAGGCGCGAGCAACCGACCATTTCTAAGAAGATGCGGCGCCGTGATAGGAACAGGAAAGGGAGGAGGAGACTGGATGGATAGTGGGTATAGGCCAGTGTATCTTAATTGGGCGGGTTGTCGATTGGTGACGGTTATGCTGGCATCGCAGCCTAAGTCGGGTGACGCCCCCGATACAAAAAGCTCCTGGTTACGCATTGGAACTATATGGACGCTGGCAGGAGCCATCTGGGGGAAGTGATATCGGAGGATGCTTGTACCAACCCCGATAGCATGGCAGACAGATGTGGAAAAAATATATATACCAAAAAAAAAAAAAAAAAAAACGTTCAGAATGAGTTTTCAGCTCTTTATATGCTTGCTTCTTTAAATAACCGGCAACACGTTTCCCAGCGATTTCTTTCTGTTGGGGCCGTTAACACGCCGCATCCTTAGGTGTTCAGCTTACTCTAAGAAAGAGGCCGCCTTCACCAGGCAAATCATGCGTCACGCCAATTCAGCTGAAATTGGTCCCTGGCAAAACTCCGTGTCAGAAAAATGAGGCTTGGACGAACTGGTGGGGTTTAGTGAGACCTTCAAACAGCAAACCTCAGTCTAGTCTGCAAATTAAACAGCCAGTACCTACCTGAGCCATATTTTCCAGTGCATGATTTTGCCCGCCCCTAAAATGTCAAACCAGTGAGGGCCTCGCGGGTGCTGCCAGCCTTTTTGGGTCTGATAGTACAGGACCCTGTTGACCGGCACATTCTCGCGAGTAGCTGGGGGTGGGGGGAAGTGGGCATCCTGGTGATTTAAAATGTCAAATGTGGTTTATTAAACTTTATATATAAAAAGAACATAAAGCTTTGACATCCACCCACCACAACTGTACGGAATGAAACTTCCACAGCAGTTCCACCAGAAAGGCGCTTTAATGCCTCTCGAGGCGTCTGTTAACAATATGTTGCCCAAAGAGACATTACTTTATATAGCATCTGCAATCTTTTGGTCTAGAGAGGAGAAAGAGAATCAGCAGGAGGAGGAGGAGGTAGAGCAGGAAGAGAAGCAGAGGAGGAGGAGGAGGAGGAAGAAGACGATGAGGACGATGACGACGGCGACGAAGAAGAAGAAGAAGAAGGCAATGAAGACGACAAAGAAGACGACAAAGAAGACGACAAAGAAGACGACAGAGAAGCAACAAAAAAAACAACAAAGAAGAAGAAGAAGAAGGAAGAGCAAGAGACAGAAGAACACAGAGGGGAGGGGAGGGGAGGGGAGGGGGGGGGAGAGGGAGGGGGAGCAGGAGGGTGCGTAGGAGGGGGAACCGGAGGGAAGGGGGAGGGAGAGGGAGCGGGAGAGGAGGAGTGGAAAGGGGAGGGCGAGGGGAGGGGAGGGGAGGGGCAGGAGGGGAGGAAAGCTGACAATGTAGAGCAGGAGGAGAACAAAGAGGCTGAAGAAGGTAAGGGTCGTGCGAACGGAGAGGGGAGGCAGGGGTTAAAGGAAAGAAGGAAGGCATGGACCAGGGGAACGAGCAGCAGCAGGACGAGAACGAGGAGGAGGAGGAGGAGAAAGAAGAGCAGGATCGAGAAGGGGTGGAGGAAAAGGAGAAGGAAGAGCAGGATTGGCAAGAAGACGAGCAGAAGAACTTGAACAAGTAAGAGAAGTAGCAGCGAGAGGAGCAGCAGGAGAAGGAAGACCAGTAGGAGCAAGAAGAGCACAGGGAGGTGGAGGCAAGTTGACAAAGAAGAGAAGAAGAGGAGATGAACCATCGAGGGGTTGAGCAAGATAGGCTGCAGTAAAAAGAGGGGCGGGGGGGGGGGGGGGGGGGGAAGGGGAAGGAACAAGGAAGAGGCCATGGAGGTGGGGGACGAGCGGCAGCAGCAGCAGCAACAGGAGGATCCGGGAACATGGAAGACGCGGGCACCTTTGAGTACCTTCACGCGCAAATAAAGTCCCGGAATTGTGGGCAAGTATGGTGCCACATACAGGGGCGGTATTATCTCACAGGACCAACTGGAGGAATCTGAATGAATAGAACCGTGTCTTCATTATTAAAAAACAAAAAAAAAAGGAAAGGACCCAAATTGGTATAAAATTAATTTCACAAATGCTCAGAAGGGGGCCTAGGCTACTTCTTGTGCTTTAATCTGATCCTCAAAGAATAAAGAAACAAACCTAGCTTACCAAACACGTTAGGCTTTTCGAAGACGCAAGGACGACCATTCTGCACTCTAATGATTCCCTCCCCTTGTCAGGAAAAAGACAAAGGAGACAAAACAGGAGAAGGCTGTCCCCCCTGCTACAACGTATCTCCTAAATGAATTGTCATTGTCCTCTCCTGCTCCCTTTGTAGGACTTGATCCCTTCTCCCCCTCCTCCTCCTCCTTTCTGTCGTCTGTGTCTACCACCCGCTCCCAATTCTCTCTGGTTGATCTTGTCAGACAGACAAGACAAAACAGGTCAGACAGACAGGACAAAACAAGAGAAGCTTTCCCCTCAACTACAAGGCATCCCTGAATGCACTGCCATTTTCTTCTGCTTCTCCCTTTGCAGGACTTGTTGGAATCTCCTTCTCCTCCTTTCCCTCGTCCGACGCATCCACCCGCCACCTGCTCCCCACATCAAACCACCTGCTCCACATTCTGTTCGCCCTTGTCAGAAAAAGGATGAAGGAGACGGAAAAGGCGAAGGATCTTCCCCTCTACTACGACGTATCCCTAAACGCACCACCACTTCCTTCTTTTTTCTTCTCCCTTCGCAGGACTCCTTGCAATCTCCTCCTTTTCCTTGTCTGCAGCTGCCACTTGCTCCCCGCATCAACCACCCGCTCCTCATTCTCTTTTCGGTCTTGTCAGAAGAAAGACAAAGGAGGTGAAAAAGGCGAAGGCTTTTCCCCCTACTACGATGCATCCCCAAACGCACTACCATTTTCTTCTCCTTCTCCCTGTCCAGAACTTGTCGCCATCTCCTTCTCCTTTTCTTGGTCCGCATCCACCACCTGCTCTCCATTCTGTTCGGTCTCCTCCTCCTTCCTTTGTCGATCCGTCTCCGCCGACTCGTCGCCACCTTCACCCTCCGATTCCGCGGACTGGAAGGACTCTCCTCCATCTTCAGAGCTCTGATCATCTCCACCGTCACCATCACCTACTCGCACAGCGTTCCGCTCTACCACTGACCCATAGGGATCCCTATCCTTATCGGCCCCGGCCTCGACCTGCCTGTCTTCCATGGGAAGCTTGCTGATTGCGTCGCACAGCTTCTTAAGTCGGGGAACGACGGCCGCAGAGATCGCAGGAAGAGAATAGGTTGTCAAGCCAAAGATCTGGGCACCGTTCTGCACGTCATCAGCTCTGCACAAAGCAATTCCCTCCCTATCCTCCGTACATCGTCCGTACACGTATGGAAAGTGATGACGGTGTACTTCAAAACGCTTTCCGCCAACATATAGCCCGTCGCGGATCGCCGAGGACCGTTCGCTTAATGACAGCATAAGTGCCAGTAATTCCTCAGTCGACGGCGGATCGAAATTGGCGGCGAGCACCATTGCACGTGAGTCGAAGATCACGACCCTTGACACTTTGCTCGCCAACGGCGATGGATCGTCTATCATGGCTTCCGCCAGACACCTTGCTGGCTGGGGGCCGATGGTGCAGATCATCCTCAGCTGGCTGGCTGTTACGCTGTGTCGGGATCAGGATGCGGACGATCAGGACTCCAAGCAACACTGTCGCTGCTGCCGCCGACTTCCGCACAATACAATCAACAGCCCACCCAACCAATCGTCGACACAGCTCAACTCGATATAGAGAGCAGAGAACAGGAATTGGTTCTGTAGTAGGACCAGTCCCAACACCAGTCAGGGGTGTACCTAAACACATGAACACAACGCGGCGTCACCTAAAAAACATATGTCATCATGACATCAAATCAACCGGCAAACTATATGCCTACTTCAGTACTTAGTGAAAAAAAACTAAATAAAAGATCTACAGGTGTGGGTAAATAACGTTGAATGCACTGGGGGGGACAAGAATATTACCAAGTGCAAGGAGGAGGAGGAGGACAAAGAAGAACAGGAAGGAAGAGGAAGAAGATGGGGGAGGGAGAGGGGGAGGAGAAGCGGGAGGGGGCAGTGGAGGAGAAGACCATGAAGGAGGATGACGAAACAGGGAGGAGGAGGAGGAAGAAAGAAGATGGGGGAGGGAAAGGGAGAGGGGGAGAAGCGGAAGGAGGGGGCAGCGGAGAAGAGAAGACTATGGAGGAGAAGGGGGAGGAGGAGGAAGAGGAGAGAGCACTAGAAAGGAGAGAGCCATATCTGTCTTCCGGACAAATAGTCGCTTGGTTTTATCACACTACCAGTTCTATTATTATTTTTTTTATTTTTATTTTTTAGTTCTAGAAATTTTCATTTAGGATGAGGAGGAGAAAACACTCTCAAGGAGGAAGAGGAGGAGGAGGAAGAGGAGGAGGAGAGCACACTAGTGAGAAGAGAGCAAATTTCTGTCTTGTGTACAAATTGTTGCTCGATTTCATCACACTGCCAGTTGTATAAAATTTCGTCCTTTCTCTACACTATTTTGGGAAAAGGGAAAAACCGTTTATAGAAAAAGAGGAGCCAAAACGTCCAGATGCCCC